ATTGTCGAAATATTTTCTGGTTCATTTCATTCTGAACACTCTGCCCCAACAATATGGACTCTTCAAAATCTCTTATAACACACAGAAAGACAAATGTTCAATTAATGAGTTGTTGACCATGTGTGTCCAAAAAGAAGGTAGGCTGACAATGGAGGAGGATGAAAAAGTGAGTTTCACTACTCAAAGAAAGAGGAAGATGAATCAAGCCAATAATAAGGGAAAGGGCAAGATTCCTCCTCAACCAGACATAAATAAAGAGTCAAAATATTTCTTCTGTAAGAAGAAGGGGCACATGAAGAAAGACTGCATCAAGTTTAAGAACTGGCTCGACAAGAAAGGTACTCAACTTTCATTCGTCTGTTATGAGTCTAATATGGTTAGTGTTAATCATTATGGTGGATTGATTCTGGTTCGATTCTGGTTCTACAATCTATGTTTCTCTTACCTTGCAGGGTGTACAAAACCTAAGGAAGCCAGTGGGAAGTGAACAATGCATCTATTCAAGAAGTAAGATGAGTTCACATGTAGAAGCCATTGGCGCGTGCAGTTTAGTTTTAAGCAGCGGTTTCGTTTCACTAGGATTGTGGAATCAAGAAATGCAAAATTTCTTGAGTATGACTTGATCAGTGGGAGTGATCAATCTCGAGATATTATTTCAGAAAAGGATTATTGTTAAGCTCAACCCTCTAGGTCAAGTGATAGATTGATTGTTATTCACACCCCTCAAGGAAAAACATGTGTTAGACAACTAATTGCTGAAGTTTCATAAGCTATTAATAATGATCAAGTAGATCAAGTTGTAAATAAGGAACAATGAGGTATTGTTGAACATCCAATTGAATAACATGCTCTTGAGGAGAATGTTGAAACAACGTTAAGAAGGTCTACTAGAGAAAAAAAATCAGCTATACCTAGTGATTATGTTGTGTATCTTCAAGAATCAGGCTACAACATTGGAGCCGAAAATGATCCTGAAACGTTTTCACAAGCCATGAGTTATAAGGAATCAGACTTGTGGCATAATAGCATGAGAGATGAGACAGATTCTATGACATCTAATCGAGTCTGGGATCTCGTTGAGTTGCCTAATGGTGTAAAAACCATTGGATGTAAATAGATTTTCAAAACAAAGAAAGACCCACAAGGTAACATTGAGAGACGTAAGACGAGACTCGTTGCCAAAGGGTTCACTTAGAGGGAAGGAATTGACTATACAGAGACATTTTCTCCTGTATTTAAAAAAGATTCTCTCCGAGTAATTATGACATTGGTAGCTCATTTTGATTTTGAGTTACATCAAATGGATGTGAAAACGACATTCCTTAATGGTAATCTAGAGGAAGAGGTTTACATGAAACAACCAAAGGATTCTCCTCTAGTGATGGTGAACACTTGGTCTATAAGCTAAATAAATCCATATATGGTTTGAAATAAGCCTCCCATCAGTGGTATTTGAAATTTCATGAAGTTATTACTTCATTTGGTTTTGAAGAGAACGTCATGGATCAATGTATATACCATAAGGTTAGTGGGAGTAAAATTTGTTTTATTGTACTGTATGTGGATGATATTTTACTTGCAACTAATGATAGGAGTTTACTTTATGAGGTGAAACAATTCATCTCTATGAAATTTGATATGAAGGATATGGGTGAGGCATCTTATGTCATTGGCATTAAGATGCATAAAGAAAGATCTCGAAGTATTTTGAGTTTGTCTCAAGAGACCTATATCAATAAAGTTCTAGAGAAATTTCACATGAAGAATTGTTCACCGAGTATGGCACCTATTATGAAGGATGATAGATTCGATTTGATTCAGTGCCCGAAAAATAATTTTGAACGAGAACACATGAAGAGCATTCCATATGCTTCAGCTGTTGGAAGCCTTATGTATGCTCAGGTTTGCACCAGACTTGACATAGCATTTGGGTTGGGAAGACATCAGAGTAATCTAGGTATCGACCACTGTAAAGCTGCAAAGAAAGTGATGAGATATGTTCAAGGTACAAAAGACTACATGCTCATTTACAAATAAACTAATAATTTGGAGGTGATTGGCCGATTTAGACTACGCTGGCTGCATTGACTCAAGAAAATCAACATCTGGTTATATTTTCATGCTAGCTGGTGGAGCTGTTTCTTGGAGAAGTGCTAAGCAGACCTTGATTGCTAAGCAGACCCTAAGCAGACCGTGACTGCTACTTCCACAATGGAATTTGAGTTCGTATCCTGTTTTGAGGCTACATCGCATGGTGTATGGTTGAAGAGTTTTATATCTGGGCCTAGAGTCGTGGACTCTATTTCAAGGCCATTAAAGTTGTACTGTGATTACTCGTAAAAGTTGTACTGTGATTACTCAGCTGCAGTATTTATGACTAAGAACAATAAGAGTGGAAGTCGAAGTAAACATATCAACATCAAATATTTAGTCTTAAGAGAATGTGTTAAGGAAAAGAAAGTGGTTATTGAACACGTTAACACTGAGTTGATGATTACTAATCCTTTGACTAAAGGCATGCCACTAAAGAATTTTAAGGATCATGTAGTACGAATGACACTTGGTTCCATAATGTGATTTACATTAGACGAAAATTTATTGTTGTAATGAAACTCTTAATTCAGTTGATGTTTTCTCATATGGTTTTGTGCACATATTTATTCATTCATTTATTTTGAGAAATCTCATTTGGTTTGGACTTGGAATAGACATATGGTTTATTCATTAAGTTGTATGGGCTAGTATTGTGAGACTTGATATAGTGTAATACATGAAAGATAATACTCACTATAAGAGGACATATCACCATGATTCATATATTTTTGCTTCTCTATATGGTGGTGTTGAACTATATGGACCAAGTGAGAGAATGTTGAGATTCTTTCAATTAGGATTCCCAAATTAATTAATGCTCTGTTTCAGTTTCAATTCCTGTTGGAATTCCTTGCTGTTTTCAAGGGAAATAAATTTCTTTCATTGCAATTCTCAAATTAATTAATGTTCTGTTGTAATTTCAATTCCCGTTGGAATTCTTTGTTGTTTTCAAGGGAAATAAATTTCAGAATGTGGTCTATATAGTGTCTAAGTTCAACACTAGAATTCCGTAATGTTCCATAACGTTTATAATGCGAGAAAAACTCACATATGCCCTGCTCACGTCTGTTGAACTCTGTGATAGGCAGAACACTATAATTAGATGCGATACCTGTTGTTTTGGTCCCTAAGCTTGCTCCTCTTCATTTTATTTGCACCATTGGGTTGTGAGTGAGAAAAACTTAGAAAATCTATAACAAAAAAATTACCATGAGAGTTGTGAGTGTCGACTCTGTTCGTGTAAGTTATGGCTGGGGGGATGTATGATCCTATCTCCCTTCCGCTTTTTGATTATATGTTTGTTTATGTTTGTGAACATGTTTAGATTGAATATGATATTATTAAAACAGAGCCGACCCAGAGCTCGCTCAGACTCGGCTCGTTTACAGCCCTAATCTCAAACAATAAACAACTAAAAAATTCTCAAGTTATTTTAAGTTCATTTTTTTTAACAATTATATGAATTTTTTATTAATGAGTTTATTATTTGGAATTATTAAAAATGATTAAATGAAAAATATTTTTGAATATCTTGATTTTTATATGTAAAGTTGATTTATTGGTGAAAATCTTATTCAATTTGGAGTTTTCTGGTAGAAGTTATTAAGGGTTTAGGGTAAGAGGGCATATTTGTACATTTGCCATTTTGTTTGAATTACTTTCATTTTAAAGTGAAAATGACTTGTATCAATTTCTTTTTTGTTGGTGAAATTCAAATCAATTGGTTAGGACTTCCTATTTTAGTTATTTCATTTATTAAATTTAATAATGAGAAGGGCAAATTTGTAATTTTGTGAAAATTTACAAATATACTCAAATTCACTTTAAAACACATGATTTTTACGATTTTGTTTGCTGTTTGATCTTTAATTAATGATTTCAAATTATGCTTCAAACATTTTAAAATTTAGAAGATTATTTTGGTAGTATATTTGTAATTTTTGGGATAAATACAAATAGAATTTCCAATTGTTTTTAAAATTTCAAAATTTAGCACATACTTACCATTTAATTGATTATTAATCATTATTTTTAGTGCTCAAATTAAATATTTTATTGATTTAATGAGATGTACTGTACACTAGCAGTTTCGAACGAGCTGAACATGAGTCAAGCCTGAGCTCGCTCAAGCTTGACTTATTTACAACCCTAGATGTGTCATCTAATTCACTGTCATATTTAATAAAAAATATATATAAATATTTACATGTTTGTGCTTAAATCTTTAAAATAATATTAAAATATTAAAATTATCAAATTTTAAAACTAAAATTCATTTTTTATGCATAGATTTTTTTTAAAAATTATTAATTTAAAAACCAAATTTTAGATATCTAAAATTTCATAATTTTGGAAGTAAATTTTTTGTACACTACCCCTTACACTCCGGAATGTTCCGGCGGCACATTCCACACTCTTCTTCTCCACACAGTCCCAGCTTGTTCTAGAATCTTCTTTTCTTTGTCATGAACAACAGAGCATCTCTATCCGCGCGATTTTATGCCGAACGTGCGAGTTTGAAGAAGAGAAAACAAAATATGGCCGGCCTTCTTTTCGCTGATCCCTTACGGCGTCTACTCTGGAGCCCGGCGGCCCTACGGCGATCCGGATTGCCGGCCGTCGATTGGCTTGAGAATCCGTCTGCTCACATAATTCGCCTTGATGTTCCAGGTATTCGACCTCATTCAACTCTCCCTATTACCAGGCAAAATACTAAGCTGCTCTTCGTTTTCTAGGGTTTGGGCGGGAGGAAATCAAGGTGCAGCTTGAAGAAGGCAACGTGTTAAACGTGAAGGGCGTGCCGGCCTCTTCCGCATCGGCGGAGGGAAAGGACGCACTCTGGCACTTGTCTGAGAGGGCGGAGAAGGAGGAGTTTTCGCGGCGCTTCGCTCTTCCGGATGGCTCTTCCGGATGGTATTAAGGGTGATCAGATTAGGGCGCAGGTGGAGAATGGCGTGGTTACTATTATTGCTCCCAAGGAGGTGGTTCCGGCAAAGCTTAAGCCCCGTGCCATCCCGATCTCCAGCAAGCTCTGATCAAATGAGGTTAGAATCTATGTGCTGAAATTTTCTTATGACAAGTTAGATAACCCTTATCAATCTACAGCGTGCGAGGAGAATTATGTTGTATGTGTGTATGACGCTGTTGGTTATGTATAAAAAATAAAAATGAAACCAACTTGCTTGGTCACTCTTGGCAATCTGGTTTCTCTGTTTGTTATTGTTCCTCAAAATGCTAGCTAGATTCCATCAAAATATTGCGTTATTTTGTTTATTTGAATGCGTTCAAACAAGCGACTGCCGTTGGTTTTGGCCTATTTTTCTTTTGTGAGGGTGACAGGATGTAGTGATTTGCTTGATGTTGCGGACCTCTGAGAACATTTTTAATATTGTAGTTTGCTGGAACTGAACGTATGACAGTTGAAATATCGCCATTCCCAGTGTGTTATCATATCAAGTTGTCATTACAAATGACTTTATAAACAACGTAAGTCAACTATTCAATCACTTCCAGTTTTAATTCAAAATATTGTAAGTCCAAAAATACTAATTTAATTAAATTATTTAAATTGATAGTTATTAAGTTTTATATATTTGATGAATTAGTTTTATATGTAGACAATTAGTTTAAGAATCCATATATAGAAGAATAATGTAAGCAATCAGTTATTAATGAATTAATGTTTAATTCAAATTTTAATGAATATTTGTCCCTTAAACAATAAATCTTAGTGAAGTCTGCCATTTTAATTGAAATTTTAAAATTTAGATAAAAAAACATAAATGTGCAAGAACATGTAATCATTTTACACAAAAGTACCAACAATAAATAAAACTCTGCCATGTATAGTATGCGTTCAGTTATTAATGAATTAATGTTTAATCCAAATTTTAATGAATATTTGTCCCTTAAACAATTAATCTTAGTTAAGTCTGCCATTTTATTTGAAATTCTAAAATTTAGATAAAAAGGATAAATATGCAAGAACATGTAATCATGTCACACAGAAGTACCAACTAGAAATAAAACTAATATAAAATAACATGAAACAATTAAGTCACATAGCATGATAACCGTAGGGATATAATTAATACATAACATTAATCTACCAAACTAACATAACACAAACTTTAAACATCCATAAAATCAGTAGGCACAAACCAAAGTGAAGTCAGAATAATTGGATTATTAGGCATTATCGACCTCATCATCATCTTCATCGTCGACACCTTGATCCATGGGTTGCACAAAATCCTCATAACACCGGAAGGGTGGTGCACTAGAAAATTGGGGTAAGCCGAGTTTGACTTTTAGCTGCTAGTTTTGGATCATTTATGTCAGAGATGAATTGAACTGCATTTAGTACTCATACTGGCGCCAGTGCTAATTAATATAGAAATCAAATCTTTGGCCCATGTCTTGTGTCACCATTGGATAAAGACAATATCGTTGCTTAAGGTGTCTAACCTCTAGGAGATTGAAAAAATAGAAGTTAAAGGTTGGGCTCATGAAGGGGTGGGTCTAGAGGAACTTTCACATCTCTCAAAGGAAGTCTTCTCATATGAAATTAAAGTATCCTTAGTCATAGCTCGACTTGGATGAAGTTGCTCTTCCCTACTTTCACTAGCACATAAAGCAAAGATCACTGACGGGTGGACAAGTACTATGGTAGTCCCTCCCTTGATGATAATTTATGTTGAAAAATATAAAACACTTCCGATATCTCTATCTCTTGCCACTTCACTGATATTGATCAAAGGCAGAAGTTTTGTAGAAATAAAGTAGTGTCAAGCCTTGGACTCCACATTAAGAGCCGTGGTAGGAAAATTTATCATTTTTTTTAAATCTCTAAACCGCAATTAGGCGTATGAATCGGTCGAAAAGTTTATAAATAATATCAAAAGCAGAAGACATAAACAGAGACTATTGATCTTCAGGAATAATAGGAAGGGAAAAAGTACATTGAACATGATAGAACTAAATCTATTTTTTTTCACCTTGAATAAAAACTTTATCGTTCGATTATTTTTGTATGTTAACAAAGAATTCATGGTCGATATGGAGAAAGACAATTTTGGTTTTCTAGCTAAAATCCTTCTATGCCCTTCTCATTATGATTCTTACCCTACTCTTAGTATTTAGGAATCCTCTATCAAGGATCAACATTTTTGACACTAATAATTTGTTATACGTTTGATAGTTATGGATTTACATAATTGTTGTCATCGACATGAAAAATACGAAGAAAGAGAAGGAAAGCAAGATGAAATGCCCTTAAATCCTAAGAATCTCTTCTCCCAGCCTGTCTCTCACTCTCAAGCTTCTTCACGATGACTAGGTCTGGATTGGATTGCGTGAAGATTAAAAGAGGCAAAGCTGGGATATTTATAGAATCAGGATGAACACTATGGCGTTAAGATGGGCATTGTGACATTGGGTGTGTTGTATTGGGTCAATTAAAATGACAAATATAACTATTAAAGAACATTGAAAAACCTAACATTTCGTGTAAAAATTCAAGTCGACCACCCGTGATTTAGTCATAGTATTATGACGATGGGGTGGTAGTGTTGCGATACTTCAATAGATTTGAATGAAAGGCATATGGTAAAGCCACATGGATGGAGACCTAGTGCAATAGTGCTAGTGCTGTGACTCTCTGTGTGAGCACGATGACGCTTAGTGCAGAAATCACACAAACAAAAAATTTCTAAGACAACATAAAGCACACACTTAATTCAAAAGCAAACAATGCAAATAATGGAATACACATAACAAAATACTATGATATAACATTTGATTTGCTTACCAAAAAGTGTTAGGTTTATTGTGCTCAGCTTGATAATACCAAAATTATGCTTAAGGTTTTTCTATAGGATCAAATTGTCTCTTTAATATTCCACTACTAAATTATCTAATGTCAATCCTAAATTTGAATCTTTCTAAATATATGTATTCTTTTAAAAACCTTTGTTTAGTATTTACTGCAATTTGTCATTCTCAATTTCACAACAATCTTCCGGAGGATATATAGTGGCTTAAATTGAATTATAAATTCCAAAAGTGATTTCTTAATCTTGTGTTCTTATACTTAATTTCTTCTTTTTTTTTGTAAATTCATATTTTCTCTCCTTGTTTCAAGAAATGATCTTTTTAAAATTATTGGAATTTCAACATCTTCCTCTGTATCCCAGCATGGAAGATGAACTTATCTATCTTAATGAGGGAAATTTCTATAACCCTTTATTTGATAAGTCAAAAATTTTTCCACTAACTGATGGGTTATAGTCGTAATTTAAGCATCTTCTAGTCATAATCTTTTGAGGATGGAAAAATGCATGAGATTAATGTTAGCTCTCAAGTCACGCATGACTTTTTGAGAGAACTTGTTACCTATTATACACGGAATAATGAAAATATCTAGATCCTTAAAGTTTTTGTGAAAGTTTCTTCTAAAAGATAATACTGCACTCAGTTAAAGTCATAGTCTCATAACCACTTAGTTTTTATTTCTTATTAAGGATGTATTTCATGAATTAAATATAATTCTGGATATGTTCTAAAACTCCAACAAATGAGATATTAATAATTAGCTTTTTGAACATTTCTAAGAAAGTGAAAATCTGTTGGTCTAATTTATGCTTTTGAAGTTCTTGGGAAAAGGTGGTGGTGGGTTTTCTAGTTCTTTCCTAGGAGATGATGTTTTTCCTAATTACTGTGAAGATTTTTCATTAAGTCTTTCTATCTCAGGCTCTTCTTCTATGCTAGGCTCTTATCTTCTCTAACTTCTTTTCACTTTTCAATCTTATCGCCACTTTCCTTTTTCTTTAGTATTATTCTAAAAGATAATACTGCACTCAGTTAAAGCCATAGTCTCATAACCACTTAGTTTTTATTTCTTATTAAGGATGTATTTCATGAATTAAATATAATTCGGTATATGCTCTAAAAATCCAACAAATGAGATATTAATAATTAGCTTTTTGAACATTTCTAAGAAAGTGGAAATCTGTTGGTCTAATTTATGCTTTTGAAGTTCTTGGTAAAAGGTGGTGGTGGGTTTTCTAGTTCTTTCCTAGGAGATGATGTTTTTCCTAATTACTGTGAAGATTTTTCATTAAGTCTTTCTATCTCAGGCTCTTCTTCTATGCTAGGCTCTTATCTTCTCTAACTTCTTTTTACTTTTCAATCTTATCGCTACTTTCCTTTTTCTTTACTTATAGCTTCTCTTTCTGCACCCAACTTACTATATCTCCTCTTTCCTCTCTAGAAGACTTGTTCAGCTCACATGCAATTATCAACAGAAGTTCAAACTTAAATTCCTATGCGATTTTGATCAATTACTCGTACTCATTTCGGGTTTGATTATTTGTTGATTGTTAGAAGTTTCTTGTCAAAATAATTGTATTATTGTCAACACAATTCACCTGCTAGCCTGATTGGTTTAGATTCAATGAATTTTTAAGTATTGAAAATATGGCTTTCTATAGTTAGCTTTTCTGAGTATTGTCACCTCTTCTGCTGTCGAATAATGCTTTTATTCAACTGGCTTGCGTCAAACACTTGGGATACCAATGATTATTATACCGATGATACGAATGATGATTTTTTTTTTTCCACCAATTGGCGAACTTTCTATAGTCTTTATTGAAGTCATTTTATTATCTTTAGAATCTTTATATTGTTTTCAATCAACGTGCTATGCATTCGAGCACTTATATTCATTTCTTTTATATTTATTTATTTATTTAAATTGTGAGGTATCCTTCTCTTTTTTTCGCTTGGGCATTGGAACCGTGCTTTTTGGTTTGCTCGTTCTTCTAACAGTAGAGTCTGCTAGTTAGGTTGGGGGCGGTGACTTAGAGTAAAATGTAGAATAGTGTTTTGTTGATAGATTCAGAATGAAACAGCTTTGTTGATGGAAATCCATCTTCCTCAATCAACTTATTTGCTTCATCTCTTCCTCTCTACATCAATTTTAATGAGAGCCTTGAGACTTGGGTTGCGGGACGTGAATTGGAGCCTGGAGAGCTTGGGTGATGATTGGCGGGATAGGAGATGGACATAGCATGGAGATGAAGATCTCATAATTGGAAAGCAGGATCAACGAACTCTTAAAATGCGTCGAAGGTCCTTGACTTATTAAATACAGAAAATGTGCACACAACCAATGCGAGAGCGCCCAGTTTTGGAATGAGACTTACCATTTTCTACCTGAACAGGTCGGCAGATGATGCTGGGTTCAATGTGAGGATCGCATTGATAACTCAAACTCCTCTGAGTCTTGATCCCCTCTTCTTGCCATGTTGAGTGACCTGAACCACAGGAATCTAATGTGTGTACAAACTCGAGTTTGACTCCCTTTCTTCTATGAGCATATTGAATTTTGTTGATTTTTTTTTTTTTGTGTATGGATATTCATAATAGTAAGCGGTGAAGCTGGAAACCTGTAAGCTCGAAGGTGGGGCTGCCGCATGGTGGGGATCCATACAAACTCAGCAGAGACGAAAATAAAGCATACCATTCATTGTCGGCAGTAAATGCAAAAGTTACTTTTAGAATGCTTTTATCGGTTGATTATGACTAGATTCATAGAATAAATACCAAGAATGTTAGAAGCTGGGTAGTTTAGTTGATGAGAATACTTTAGAATTCTATTTCAAGCTCAAGTAGATGTTCATGAACTAGAATGACATGAAGTCTATGTGATTTGAACAGGTTGAAGGATTCCTTGTATGACCGATTGCCCATAAAATCCATTTGGATACTTCTGAAAGTTGTGATTTTTGCTTACAAAGTTACATAGCCAAACTCAACCCTATAGTTGATTTTCCTCGGGTCAAAAAATTGCGTTGATAGCCTAAAATTGTTGCCACAGCTCTCTTTAGGCCAAATATCTCCAAATTCTACTTTGTTAGGCATCTTTGCTATAGGTTAGAACCCTCTTTGTGGCGAAACCTCTTAATCAAATACTCACTCATGATGTGAAAACAAACCCATATGTACATCTATGTCCTATCGGTGTTATTGCTGTAAGTTTTAAGTTGTAATTAATAAGGACACAAATCAATTGAGGTTCCTTTAAAAAAAAGCATTGCATGTTCAGGGTGAAGAGGATGAACATTAGGGGCTTGATGATGAAAGTAGCGAAGAAATTGTACTTGTCGAAGGGAATGTATGAGAGTCCATTGCTTGATAATCAAACGGTTGACCTTAATTAAGGTTGTTGATTCCATGATGCAGGAGCTTATCGCTCATTGTACTTTAGCAGTTATAGTACCACAAATGCGTTACTGTATCTGTTAGCATAACCGTGATCTCCCTTTCCTATTTAATTTTTTTTCCATTATTTTCCTGATGTTTTCTCATTATAATTAATTTCTTTCTCTACTTATTTCCTTTTCCTCTCATTGCCTATCATATCTCTTTCTTATCATACTCTTTACCTATGCTATCTACTAACCCCCTCTTTTTATAAGTGCTTTTTTCTGAGATTAGAGGAGGTTTTTGGATGATTGTTGATTTCAAATATTGCCTTTGAGTCGTTCTTTCCCTTTAGGGGCTGCATCCGACGGTTTCGTTTGAGGTGGTGACCGTCTCGAAGAGTTCTGGTGATGCTCCAGTTCGATTCTGATGAGACATTTATCTTTTCACAGACCCCTCTCCCACGCAGTTCATCAATCACCAAGTTACTGCGCTCCCTCCGACTCGCCTTCAGCAGACTGTCAACCCTTCTCCACACCTTCCCACAGATTGCCAGGATCCGCACCTTCCTACATATTGCCAACATCCTGTTTGCCTCTGATTCACCTCCAACTTCTCGCCAGTCGACCCCTACGCCTTTCAACATTTGTCAAATTTCTGCTCCCCCTTCCCTACAATCAAATATGTTGCCCCTTCCCTACCACCGGCCCTATTTCCCTCTCCCTACTACTGCCAAATCCCCATCTACAACCGTCACCTTTATTTGAGTCTATGTATTATGTCTTTATGCTTGTATTATTATTTGTTGTGGTGATTTTATGTTGCAAGGGTCTTGTTTGTACCCTTTTTGATTCAGTAAATAATAATTGTGTTTTTTGTGATGGTTGTGGTCTTTTTTCTCCGGTATCATTTATTATTAAAACTAGCCCAACATTAGTCATAGTCTAGGATTTTCTAGTATCTGCCTTTACTCAAGTCACCTTCCTGCAAAATTTTTTTGTTCTAAAAGCTTTGACGGATGAAGTTGAAGCTCCCTAGGAGATTGAAGCGGGAGCTCATCGCCTGCGGTACTGTAGTAGCCATAGTTTCTCAGGCGTGTTACTATAGCTGCTACAGTAATCATGGGCTCCATTTCTTATTTAATTCTTTTTTTTCCTTGATACTGTAGCTACTACAGTAACCTTTTCCTATTTAATTTCTTTAATTTCTTTTCTTGATGCTTTCTCATTATAATTCATTTCATTTTCTATTCCTATCTTTGCATGTTATATCTCTTTGCTATCCTTTTCTTTACCTATGTTATTTACTAAACCTCTCTTTATATGGGTGCTTCGGTTGTTACTCGTCCGATGGGGTGACCATCTCTAATGGTCCAGGTGGTTCTCGGTTGCAGCTCGACCACAATGAGGTATTTATTTTTCTGCAGCCCCTCTCTCACGCAGTCCATTAGAAGCTAGCTTGCTGCCTTCCCTTCGTCTCACCTTCAGCAGACCACCAACCCTTCTCCGCACCTTCCCATAGTCTGCTAGCTTGCTTTTCCCCTCCGGCTCACCTTCAACATCCATACAGTCGACCCCTACTCCTTTCACCATTCGTCTACTTGTTGCTCCTCCTTCCCTACAGTCAAATCTATTGTCCCTTCCCTTGTTTCCCTACCATCGACCCTAGCCCTGCTGTCGCCAACACCCCCACTCGCTACCGTTACCCTTATTGGAGTCTATGTGTCGTGTCTTTATGCTTGTATTGTTGTGATTTCTTGTCGCAAGTCTCGTATGTATCATTTTGAATTCAGTATTAATAAGTTTGAATCTTTTTCCTCTGTTATCGTTCCACCTTGTGGCATTCCTTTTCTCACATGCGTTGCACAGAAAAAAGACGATGTGAAGTAATTATTGTTTGTGTTAGCTAAGAGAACTTGATGCAGACAAGGGCGGAACCAACTTATCCATGGTGGGCAATTGCACCTTTAGAATTGCAGTTTCTTTAGTCATTTTACCTCCCCCACCACGTCTCCTATAAAAAAAAAAAGGCATTTGGTGATTTTGCCCCGCTCTAAAAGATAAAAGTTGTTTCCGCTCCTGAGTGCCGAAGGAACTTGTCACAGCTGTTCGCCTCCAAATTGAACTGCATTCCAACCCTCATATGATCAAGTGTAAGGAGGCAGTGAAACACAAGCCAACAAAGTTTGTCGTGTTTCTTTCTTTATTGGGACGTTGATGCTTACATAGGGGCAAGAAAATTTGCTTTTTGATGCTGCTTTTTGATGAAAAAATAGGAAGGTAGTACCAACTCTCTTGTTTCTGTTGTTTTGATGAAAATATAGGAAGGTAGTACCAACTCTCTTGTTTCTGTTGTTGCGGAGATTCTAAACTAGTTTTATAGTGTGGATATCACCTTGTTTGTAATCGATGGCGGAGACGGTGAAATACTTCTTTTAAAACTATTGTTAGAGTTGTAGTTGTTGTTTGGGCTTTACAATGTTTCAAGCTCCTTCATTAGACTTATGTTGGAGATAATCAACCAAAATCATATGTTATGTATTGTGATGATGTAATGTATTGGGCCGTAAAAAAAATTCATCGTTCGTGAACAACTCATATCAGCTCATTAAGCAACTCATGTTCGATTCATTCTTTGAGTAAATGAGTTGAATATAAATTAAAGCTCTATTTATATATGAGCCGAATATTAATAAACTTTCATTCGATCGTTTTTCAACTCATTTTAACTTGATTTAATTAAATAATAAATAAATAATATTAGAAAGTTAAAAATAGGAGTATCATTGATATGACGCCAGAGATTTGGTATAAATATAAAAAAATAAAGGTTAATGTTAGAAATGTAAATACATGAGAATTTGGTGGCGTGCATGTAAATGTTCTTAGAATTTTCTCGTCAGTCATGGCATCATGGAGATACATAAGAATTGGATGGTATGTATATAAATGTCCTTAGAATTTTTCCGCCCCTTTCATATCGGAAATGTTAATGTTAGAAATGCTTTTTAAAAGCAAAAATAAAGTTAATTGATTTAAAAGGCTTCAGAAGCTCTTGAAAGGGAGGTGATATTATTTGCCTTATTATTAATATATTTGTAAAAAAATAATTAGTTTTTAAGTTTTGTAATGATAGTTTAATTTATTGAACTCTTTAATTTTGTTAAATATTTAATAATCTTAGATAAAAGTTGATCATGGGCTCGATGTGAGAAAAGAGAAGACTTGTGCTATTCGAGCTGAGCTTAAGTTCGAGCTAAATAAGATCTAATTTGAATGTGAATATGTTATTTATGAATCATTACCAATATACGTTCGTTCCGAATAAAAAAAGTTTGAACGAGCTAAACAAAAAAAGCTCTGTAGGCTTTCTTAAGCTCTAATCCTTCCACCCCTACTATTGTAATCATTTATAGCTAAACCAAGTCGAGCATTTGCAGCAACCTGATAGATTTTGGCTATTTTGGAAGGGAAAAAGGTCATGTTAAACTTCAGGTAGTGTGCATTTCCCCCTTCCAATGGTCCTATTCCTAGGTTTCATCATCTGGTTTATAATGGCATTTGGGTAGGTGGATACAAAATTCAGGGTGTAAGTTTGAAAATTATTTTGTTCATGTTCAACTTGATTCGAATTTGTTTGTTCAAATTAGCTCGTGTTCAGTTTGAATTTGAGCTCAACTCAAGCTTAGTTTATTTATTCGTGCGTTTAATTTTCTTATGGAGCGGAGTTTTGGCTCACTTTGTCTTGGGCTCTCTTTTAATTTTTATCTTAGATTATTAAAGATTTAATAAAATTTTAAAAATAATAAATTAATCTTTAATTATTAATCTTAAAAATTAATTATTTTTTATAAATATATTAATAAAAAGACAAACAATATATCTCTTTTCCATGAGCTTCTGAACCAATCAGTTTTATTTTATTTTTAAAAAGCATTTCTAACATGAAATATTCCATGTGAAATAGTACTTAAAACCGCCGGGTATGTAGGAGGGAAAATTCTAGGGATATTTACATAGCATCCATCCAATTCTTATGTATTTTTACATGTCTAACAGCCTAAATACTGTGGGACGAGACAATACTTGGGGCATTACATACATATCAGCCAATTCTCATGGGTTTACAAATCTAACACTAATGCAAGAAAAATCTGCTTTACATATCTTGCCGAGCTTTCCTAAAATAAGTTCGCTATGACTCGAAGGAAAATATTATAAGATGGTGGTGAGATATGCAATGCTTTATAGTGCGGAATGTTGGCCTTTAAAAGAGAAAGCATAAAACAACGTCAACTGTTGTGCAGATGAGAATCTTAGGTGGATGAGTGGCTTTGACAATTGGGGACAAATGTGAAACGAATCTAGTGGCAGACAAGATTAAAGAAAAATGTCTTAGGTGATTTGGTCATATTAAATGTTGATCATCTAATGATTTAGTTATGAGAGTAAATATTTTAGATTAGACTCGCGCTAAGAAAAGCAAGGGTTGACCTTAAAATACTTGGGTTTATTGTATTAAAAAAAAAAAAAGACCTTAATGTATTAGAATTAAATGAACATATGACGCTCAATATACATCAATGGAGAGAAAGGATTCATGTAGCCAACTCCACTTGCATGTGTTTTCCTTCGTAAATACATAAGAATTGTGTGGTTCGTATGTAAAATTTGATAAGAACCTATCTTTATCGCCATTAACTACAGGTTATAAATTTGTTGCTTTCATGACAATGATGGCTGCCTTGAACTTCTTGTTCTTATCACACTACATACAAAATTATCCACAAACCTATTCCATCGCAATCATCATAATCTCCTTCCAACTCTTTAAGACCTTTCTTTGGCTCCGACAGATGATAAATGGTTGTGTTCATTTTTATTTTATTTTATTTTATTTTTTTGTTAGCATATTTATCATATTTTTTTAATTGATAATTAGAAAATAATAATTAATTTATTTATAGAGAGCATTTGAAGTTATTAGAATTAGATTTTAAATATTTAATAGTAGGGGAGTAAATAAGTCGAGTCAAACTTTAGCATCTCAACTTGAGCTTGATTAATTAATCTTGTTTGAGCTTGAGATTAAATTTATGAGATAAAGAATAACAAATTACTTAATATAAGAAATGAAATATAAATTTTAAATTATTTTTAATATAAAAAATTATTATATTTTGAGTTTGTTTCGATTTTTTTTTTATTATTATTTATAAATGACGTGCCTCACGGCTATTAAGTCGAGTTGAGATTGGGTTGAGTTTGACTTGCTAGCTCATCGAGCTCTGCTCATGAGCCATTTATCGAGCCAAGTCCGACCTGAGCTTGACTCACTTACACCCCCAATTTACGTGCGGTATCCCTACCGATTACACAGGCTTTAAAGTAGATGAAAATTATGCAGGGCGGCATAGTAATTTTTGATGAGGCTCATCAAATTGATGATTCTGGTCCATCCATTTTATCTTATTTATTATGAAGAAAATTAATTTTAATAATGCAAACTGCTTAGTCCGACAGGGTTTGATAATTGAAGTTTCTCCAATAAAAAAATTGGTGTTATTAAGGTAAAATTAAGGTTATTTTTCTAAATAATTTAATGAACTGTATCCAAACGCAATTAATCAATATAAATATGTTATAACAACAACACATTTAATGATATCACATTAAAAATGACATTATTCTCTTAAGTGGAATGATCTATAAATGTAGAAATTGTATGGACTCTAATCAGTTTTATCATTTGCCTCCTAGTACTTTGTGTATTTATGCAAACTATAGTCCTACTGAGTATAAGCTAGACGAGGGCATTTACATACATACCACACAATTTTTATGTATTGATATATCTACCATCCAAATTTTAATATTTGCTTGCATAACACTTAAACCTTTAATGTCACATTAAATAAAAAAAAAGCAGCTTTTGACATCAAAGTTTATTACACTAAAATGTTACAAATATAAATATGAAAGTTCTAAGTGTTAGATGTGCAAATATATAAGAATTATGTGGTATGTATGTAAATTTTCATTTATTTTAATTATCTTATTAAGGTGATAATACTGTAGGCATGTGATTTTGGTGGATGTGTATTTTGTGTGCAAAAAAGGGGCAAAAGAAATAAATAAAAAAAAAAACGAAGAAAAAAGCACAGGAAGGTATTTTGTAAATTAAAAATTGAAGAGATTATGATGCCTCAACACGCCTCTCTGAGACAAAAATCCAATTTAAGATTGTTCAGTTCTCTATAATTATTTGTTTTGCATGTTTTCATGATCTATTCTGTCGTTTGATTACATGTATGGTTATAACTTAGGGTCTTTTTGGGGGCAATTGCAGTATTTCAGCTTTTCAGTTGCAGCTGCGCTGCTCCAGGATGCTATTGCGGTGTGAAAATAGCTGTAGGGCAGCTGTCTCTGGAAAAATGAGCATTCTGGTCATGTTTAGTAAAACTGTTTAAAACAGAACTGTGAGAACTATATATTTGATACTTCATAAGTATAAATTCATTTCAAAACAGAACAAAAATTTAGATACACAAATCACTTAACAGTGAATGCCGAAAGTGCTAAAGAAAAAGAAAAAAAATTTAATAAAATTATAAGTAAAATTATGATGATATTATTTTTAACATGAATGCGATGTATGCCTTGTACTAAATTGTTCTTCAATGATGCAATTCGAGCCACCACGCCCAAAGCCACCCATACATTCCATTCCAACAAAAATTGTAGTTAATCCAACAAAAAAAATTTAGCCACTATAATAGATGCTAAACACAAACCAAAACCACCGAAAATCCAACAAGTC